GGGGGGCATGCTGGTTCCCTACACAAGTGGGGCCAGGACTCCAGGGCAGACCGGAAGAGGTTCTTGGCCTTTACCTGCTTCCCATCCACCTCTATATCCGCAATATAATTCTCAAAGACTGTAGGGACGTAGACCTCTGGAAACTGATCCTTGCTGAAGACAATGAGGAGGCAGGTCTTCCCACAGGCGCCATCCCCAACAATCACCAGCTTCTTTCGGATCGCAGCCATGGCTGGGGCTAGCAGGAACAAGGCAAAGGAGATTTGGGGGAAAAGCTAGTGACTCCAAAACACTTCTCTAAAGCTCCCAGATCATCCCTGGAAACCCAGCATCCAGTAATGGAAGGGAAAGAAGGTGGCTTGTTCAAACATGTTCTTGCCAAGAACCAATTCTGTAGGCAGCAGACCTTGAAGCTCCGAATCTGTGTGTCAGGGACAAGCCTTTGATGGGTTAGAACACACCAGCAGAGATGGAAGAACACACGCTTGGGCTAGGAAACTTGATTCCTGATCTTTTTTGTTGTTGGGTTTTGGTTTTTTTTTGCGGTACCGGGGATTGAACTCAGGACCTTGTGCTTGCCAGGCAAGCCCGTATTCTACTGAACTATCTCCCTGGCCCAAAGAATTTTTTTTTTTTTTTGGTGGCTCAGGCTGCCTGAAGGGCAGCTCAGGTAAGGCAGGTGGAGCAGGGGATCAAACCATGGTATCCTGCTCCTGACTGTCTTTGCATGAGCAGGCGCTTGAATAACTGAGCTAAGGGCAGGCCCCTTGTCCTGATCTCTTGTACTCAATTGAGGGACCCTAGATACCTAGGGAGAAGTTCTTGGATGGCTCCATAGGAGCCAGCCTTTACCTGCTTTGCATAGCAAGGATTAGGATTTCTAATATACATGAAATTTAACAGCTGCTAAGATGCATTTTAGAACAAGTTGTTCCTGAGCGTGAGGCCCACATAGTCACAACCCAGGAGTCCCTCTCCAAGACAACAGAGTAGCAGAACCAGCTCCAGGTGGTGGGCGGGGAAGGGAAAGAATATTTGTACAGCCTGGGTATTCTGCACTACATTGGGCATTTTGACAAAAATTATTTTCCTCAGACTTCAGACACCTGTTGGGTTATAGTACTCTTCTCATTCTGGGAAACCAGGGCACAGTGAGTGTTAGACAAGTAATGCTCGTCTGGCACACAGGCGGCAGAGTTTAGATCTGCACTGCGTGCTTCAGGAGCCTGAACCTTTTCTACACAGCACCCTGCTACCCTGAGGTAAGAACAGGAGCAGGGAAACCCAGACAGAGGGAGTGGCAGCAACCAGCCGCTTCTCCAGCCATCCACCCAGTCTCAAAGGCTGGAAGTTGCACAAAGGAGGCTCAGTCCTGGCAGTGCCCACAGTTTGCGCCTGGGCAGCCTGCCTTCCCTGCTCCTTCCTCTGGGTATGACAACACTGGGTCACTCAGCCCCTGGGAGGGGACAATAAGCATACTGTAGGGAGCCTCGCATCCTGCACAGTAGAGGACTGAGAATGATCACCTCCACCCACACTGGGACAGCCCTTTCCCCCCACTCCACTCACTTCTGGGCTCTGCCCACCCCTCCCTGTGACTCAGGGCAAGGAGTCAGCTTCCCGGGTTTGCAAGTGTCCCTCTCCCCCAGTGACAGGAACCAACACTGCATCACACCTTCACAGCTTCCCTCATTTTCTACTTCCCCTGAGGGGGAACTGACCTCCAGCTGGCAGGGATTCCCAGGCCTACAGCTTAGGAGGAAGAGGGTGCGCCCTGGAGCTGAGCTGTCCTTGGGGCTGTTGGGAAGGAGGGGGCTGGAGCCTGGGCTGGGAGGAGCCCCCAAAAGAAGAGACGAATGAGGCCCAATCCTACCACCAACCGGGCAGGGAGCAGTTAAGAAGGGACAGTAACCTGATCTCGGCCCAAAGCCTGGCTTTTTCTTTCAGTCCCACATCCTGTCAAGCTAGGCTGAGCTCCTCTACTGCCTACACACCCCCACCTCCTCACACCCTGGCCTTGGCCTGCAGCGGAGCGGAGCACTACAGCTCCAGGCCACTTCCCTTCAACAGCAGGCTCTCGGGTGGCCGCCTGCCTCCCTCCCTCCCTCCCTCCCTCCCGCACATTCACAAACCCGGGATGTGGACAGATGACCGAGTCACTCTCCCACCACAGAGGGTCTGGCTCTAATACCCCAAGATGGGCAAGAAGGCTTTCTCCCAACCAGGAGATCTCCTTCAGAAAGGGGTACCCTGGGAAGTTCAGCCAGGTGACTGACACTAGGATTTCTTCCCACCACGCCGCCAACGCCCATCAGTTCAGCTGTACACAGGCCAGGGGAGCCCCAGCCTAGGCTGGCTAGGGCTGATGGGAGGGCAATCGCTGCTGCGCTGAATAAAAGCCACCTGGGCATGAGCAAGGCAGCTGGCACAGGTGGTGAGCCAGGGGTACACATTAAGTGACATGGAACCCCAGTTCAGAACATTTTCCTTAAGTTCTGCTTGGGTCAAAGAACAGGCGGCGCCCGCCAGGCCACTAGGCCCCAGGCCAAGATGGCACGGACAACAGCTCCCTATGAGAAGCTGCCCCTGAGGAACTGCCCCACTGACCTGAAGAGTGGCAGCCAAACCCCATGGGGATCTGGGAATGGGGCCTGGGGTTGGGGCCCTTCCCTAAGACCAGACTGGAGTCACTGGCCTCCCCTCTAATTCACTCCACTTCCGACATGATCCAGGAGGGCCTGAAGGAATCCGTCTCCTGGTCATCGTTTAACTTTGAAACTGGGGGAGTTTGGAACTCGGCCTTAGGTCCCCCAGCCCGGGATAATCTTTACTTACACAGACACACACGACTCCTATCAGGTTCCCCTAGCCCCAAGTACCTTGTGGGCTGCGTCCAGACCCAGCCGGCAGTGGCAGCGCTCACTGGTCACACCCCGCCCCGATTCCCGCCATCCCACCCCCTGGGCCTGGGGACTCCCCCCCCCCCACTCCCGTCCCGTCGGGCCGCCCGGGCTGGGAGCTCCAGCGTCCGGGCCAGGCCCCCTCGCCCAGCGGGGGAGGTTCCGGGAAGCTGGGAGGGGAGGCGCGGGGGCTCGGGTCAGCTCTTCAGGAGGAGAGGCCCTGCCCGGCAGAGCCGGGGTCCCTAGCTGCCGCCCGGAGAGGGGGGACCGGCCCGAGCCCACGCAGACCGGACGCCGCATCCAAGGCAAGGGAAGGCGGCCCACGCCCGGGCGAAGCCCCCTCCCGGGTCTCGCGCCGGGACACGCGGGGAACCGGGAAAGGCGGGAAAGTGCTCCCGGGCGAGTTCTAGGACGCCCCCGCCCCGCCCGGCCCCCGCCGCGGCCCCGGGTACCTTCCGCTCCACCGCCTCCAGCTGCGCGGCCGGAGCCCGAGGCTGAGACTGACCCGAGGGGCCGCCTCGCCCCGCCCCTCCCCTCCCCTCCCCTCCCCTCCCCTCCGCCAGGCCGGGAAGGCGGGGCGGCAGCAAGGGGAGGGGCGGCGGGCGGCCCCGCCCCGGCCCGGTCGCCAGCCCCCGGCTGCAGAGTCGCCGGAGCCGCCCGGATGGCGGAGGAGTGGGCACCGAGCGGGGTAAGGCGAGGCCTCCCGGAGACTCCGCTTCTGCCCGCCTCCTAGCCCCCGGGGACCGACCGGCGTCGGGAAAGTTGAGAGGCGCTCGGGGTGGGGTCCGCAAGGCGCGCTGCTGCCCCCTGGTGGCCAAGCAGCCACCCGCTCCCGCCCCACCGGGTAGGCGCGCCTGGGAAATCGCGGCGCGTAGATAGATGCCCTAGCTCTGCCGCTGGGACCACTGAGGAGCAAGCACAGCCCCGTCATCCCTGGGTTCGGAGACCTTTCAGGACCTGCAGACCCAAACCACCACTGGGCCTCGGGTTCTCCGTCTTTGTCCAGCCTGAAATTGCGACTGTCCAATTTCCACCTACTCAAAGAGGACTCCTGGAAATTCTTCCGGAACTCCTGCTGGAAAATCAGCTCCCACTCCTACTGTACTGCGCTGCTGGCGACTTACCCGGGTCTGGCATGTTGCACAGTTATTTACCTACACATGTGTCTCTTTCTTGTGAAGCAGCTAGGAGGTGGACAGAGGGAGTCTACCAACATTTTATTGGCTTGTTCAGGGTATGTCACATAGCTCAACCTGTTACTACATACTCATCACAGAGCTTTTGTCTGTAAGGAAATTTTGCCTGAGAAGTAGCTTAACAAATGTTTGTGGGGGCTGGGGAGATAGCTCAGTAGAATAAGCGCTTGCTTGGCAACTGCAAAGCCCTGAGTTCAATCCCCAATTCCGCAAAAAAAAAAAAGTTTGTGATTTTTGACATCAAGAATTCATAAGCCTGTGTGACCCTAAAGCTGGTTCGTTCAAAGAAGACTGCTCCCACACACACACTGGAGAAGTCTGTGGCCCATGGGAGGCTATCATAAATACCTGCTGAATGAATGCATGTTGGAAGTCTGACTCTAAAGATCTCAAGTACAACCCACACGTTTGACAAATAAGGAAACAGGTCCACAAGCCACTTGGTCTCCAGGTGATTAATTTACTGACACTTAACTGTGAATGAGCTATGTGCCACAGTTATTTCTGCTTTTAGAATAATGTACAGCCTACAGGAAGAACACAGATAATTTCAAAATAGCTAACATTTATTGGAAGCTTGTTGTGTGGACCACTTACGGATAACTTTTTTTTTTTTTTTGCGGAACCGGGGATTGAACTCAGACCCTTGTGTTTGCCAGGGAAGCGCTTATTCCACTGAGCCATCTCCCCAGCCCCTCGGATAACTCTTAATCCAGGAGACAATAGCCATGTGGAGGCATGCCTGGGCTGGGCATCCTACGTGTGACATCCTACATATAGGTGGACAGGTGACAGTAAGTGGGAGGTACTACAGGTCCACTGAGTTATGAGAACCCTGGGAGGGCGGTGTGAGAGTAGGTGAGGCTGGAGAAGAAAGCAGTTGGATCACAAAGGACCTCATATGCCATGCCCAGATGTTAACTGCCAATTTGTTCTAGGTGTAATAAGGAGCCACTGAAATCGGGAGGCTGGTTTACTAAGGAATTAAGGTAATAATAATGAGGAGGGATAACTGGACAAATATATATATGTAGGCAGGAGAATATTGCAAGTTTGAGACCTGCCTGGGCCACAAAGTGGCCTCAAGGCCAGCCTCAACTGCACAGTGAAACCCTATCTGCAAAAGATTAAAAAAAAAAAAAATCAAGATGGTGTAGCCTACTACCCAAGTATATGCTGGTATATGCTGTCATCTATGCAGCCGCTGTCATTATGTAGCACGTGACTACCTAGTGATTGTTTAGCATGACAAGGAAGACATGAAAGCCAAAAGTAACAACTGCAAGATTTCTAATCCAAGCAGCCAGGCAGTGCACACTGAGAATGAAGCAGAAGAAACATTCATGGGGGAGATGGTACTCAGAGTGAGCAGTGCTGGGCTGAGTGGACTGCCTAGGAAATGTTTAGATGACCAGGATGTGTGGACCTATGAAGTATGATCAAAATATACAGTCAGTGTGCAATTTCTTTTTAAGTTACAATAAAAGACACCTGCCCATTCATCACCCTCAAAATACCCTCTCACTTGGAACACACCCCATCTTTCTTGCCACTTTGAGGCAGCTCTGGAAGTCCTCTTTTATTAGTGTCTTTAGGCGGGCTGTCAGGGCTGCCTGAGTGTCCTGAATTGATTCAAAACATTTACCTTTCATGGTCATTTTGATTTTGAGAAGGATTTTTTTTTTTGGCTGGCTCAGCCTGCCTTAAGTGCGGGTCTGGTAAGGCAGGTGGAGGTGGGTTTCAAACTGTGGTATCCTGGGCCTGATTGCATTTGCATAAGCAGGTGCTCAAACAACTGAGCAAATCGGTAGGCCCCCCTGTCATTTTGATTTCGGAGAAGTCACAAGTTGCACGATGCCAGATCCCATGAACAAGGTTGATGAGAACACACTGCAATGTGTTCACAAGCCTGCTTTTCACTGGCTGGCATTCACTAGCAGTGCTGATTGTAATTTTTTTTTTTTTTTTATTGTATTTTTGATCACACCTCGTAGAAACACTTTCAGAACTGCTTCAGAAATGGCAAGAAAAATGGGATAAGTTTGGGGAGGAGCACTCTGAGGTTGATGAATGGCAGTGTATCTCTTACTATAATTTTTTTTTTATTAATTTAGGACAGGGTGTACAGGGTTTACTACATAGGTCAGACTCATAGCGATTCTCCTGTTTTCAGCCTCCCAAGTGCTGGGATTATAGATGCGCGCCACCACACCCAGTCTTAATTGCAGTCTCAGCGCCCTGGAGGCAGGGCCAGCATGGCAGGCGGGGGATGAAACCCTAGCTGCTGTGCTCTGCCAAAGAAGGCCCTTTAATCCACTGAGCTATCTGGCTGGCCCTTCTTTTTTTTATTTATTTTGTGTGTGTGTTGCCAGCTCAGCCCACCAGGGGGCGGGGCGGGCTGGCATGTCGTGGGGGGGATTGAACCACGGTCCCTGTGCTTTGTTTAGCTTAGCTTGTTCTAAGTAGGTGCTTTAGACCACTGAGCCATCTCACCAGCCCCTGGCCGGCCCTTCTTACTGTAATAAATTTTAAACATCTAAACATTCACCACGTTATTTTATTTACATATTTGTTACAGAGACTCCCTATGCAGCTCAGACTCATAGTGATCCTCCTGTCTCTGACTCCCCAGCACTGGGATTATAGGCATGCGCCACCATGCCCAGTTTTGATGGCCAGCATAGTGTTCTCCTGGGGTTCTGGGACCTGGTACAGCATGTGGTACTGAGGACTGAACCTTGGTCCTTGTGCTTGCCAGGCAGGTGCTTAGACCGCAAAGCTATCTCCCCACCCCCACCACATTATCTTGATCATACCACATTAAGGTCAGAAGTCTGAGCTGCATACAGCAATTTGGAAGATATGAACAGATGGAAACAGCAGAGGTGGATGGGGACCCTCAGTATGAGTGTACTGAGTGGGAAGAGGGGAGGGCACAAGAACCTGTAGAAAACCACAATTTTGGAGCTATTCTAGTATTCTTTTCCACCCTCTTACCTTTCAGTTTCTAATTAAAACAAATAAGACACACATCTTTATTCATCTGGTTTATTTGCCAATAGCTATAATTCTGGTTCTATTAACCTCCCTTTGTCAGTTAAATTGTCACTAAAGAAGGGTCAAGGAAACAACTTCAGAATTTGGGCTGGGAAAGGGGATAGTGGGACAGCTGAAGCTATGCCTGTCAGGAGTAACTGCCTGGCCCTCCCAGGGGGATGACGAAGACCGAGATGTCATCCCCGGAACCAAGCTTGTTGTTGGGGAGACGCCAGCCTCGGTCCCGTGGGGTGCCCCGGGCCCCCAGGACCAGAGCTTGGGCCAGAGCTGTGTACCTGCCAGGAGCACATATGTACGTTTATGTACCAACACGTGGACAGGAAGAGATCCACAGGCCCACATGTGGGGCTCCAAGCATGGCTTCCCTTTCCCCTTTCTGTCACCAGTGCCATTCCCTCACCACCTACCTGCTTGGGTCATTGGGCTCATAGGCTGACAGCACCCTGTCTACTGTGGTGGCCACTTCATGGTCATTGGTGACATCCCACAGGCCATCTGTTCCCAGGACTAGCACATCATCTGGGCAGTGCTCATACTGTGTCAGGTCATAGACTCGTACCTGGTGGGGAAAGATGGCAGAGAAAATTGTGGTATGGGGTTTGTAGGACAAAGCTCCAAAACAAAGGGCAGCCCAAGACCCCCAGAGGTCAAAAAGTGTACGTAAGGGGGATCCCGTAGAGCTCACCTCAGGAAAGCAGGACAGGAAGGGCTTGATGGGCAAGGTAGAACCACAGACCTTAAGGTTGTGGTCTCCTAATCCCCGGGTCACCCCAATGGTGGCCATCACTCTGGCCTGAGGGAAACAAGGAGGGTGCTACTGTTTAAATCTCTCCTAGGCAATCTGAAACCACACAGCCCTCCCACCCCTACCCACAGGTAGAGCCTCCACCTCCCTAGACAACTGGGTCCTCCTGCCCTCTCCCACCTCTACCATAGTTTACCTTTTTGCCCTCCCCACAGACCAGAGGAAACCTGAGGTCCTCCAGCTCGATCTTTTTGTAGGCCCTGGGGAGGGGGGAGTACAGGAGGCATCACCCAGGCATCAAAGATCCTGTCCCCTAGGGCCTGCTCACCCTCATGCAAATTCTCAGAAGGACCATGTCCCCCAACTCCCAGCCTCATCCAGCCTCTAGTTTCCACTTTGCTGCTAATGAGGAACTGGTTATGTTGCCACGGAAACAACCCTAGCTCAGAGGGAAGCCTTACCAGCCAGTCATGTTCTGGTCCCTGTACAGCATCATCTGCCCCAGTTCCTTGGGCTGAATTCTTCGGGGAAACTCGAGGTGGGTGAATTCACTGCCCAGCAGCTCTGGTTTCAGAAAGCCCTAGGGTTGAAAACAGCCAGACAGAGCAGAAGGCCAGAAGGCATTATGCTCAAAGCACATGCAGGGACAATGCACAGATGCCATTAATTATAGGCCCTTAAATAAAGGTTACCACTCTTGTGCACTATTCCAATATTAACATAAATTAACTTGTTTACTCCTCGCAATAGCCCATGAGGCAGGAACTGTGGATGTACAGAGGGGTTAAGGAAATTGTCAAAAGTCACAGCAAAGGGCTGGGGAGATAGCTCAGTAGAATAAGCGCCTGCCCGGCAAGTGCAGGGTCCTGATGAGTTCAATCCCCGGAACCGAAAAAAAAAAAAAAGAAAAAGAAAAACGAAAAAAGTCACAGCAAAGGACCCAAACCAGAACTCAATCCCAGGCAGCCAGGCTCCAAAGCCCACGGGTTTAAAATCTAAGCCAGCTTGCCTTTGAAGGCCTCTGCTCCTCCCTTTCCCCACTTCTGACTACTTCCTTTCTCCACCAGGCCATGGCCAGAGGGCAAAACCAGCCCAGGTTCCTTCCTGCTGCCTGCTGCCACAAGCTCAGCCAGTCTTGAGCTCCATAGTCCACACAGCTGCCTTCCCAGGAGACTCCCATTAGGAAGCTTTCTGCGCGTGTGGTGGGGTGTGAGAACACTCATGAACAGACAGCGCTGAAAGGCTCAGGACCCAATAAAGGCTGGGAGTGGGGAGTTTGGTTCCTACTTACAAGCAACTGAAGACGCTGGCGCTCAGTCTCTGGGGTAAACTCCCGGGACATTGGAATGATTTCACCATTTCGGACAATGATGGCTCTGCCCAGAGAGAGAAAAGCCTGGCTTTTCCCAATACCTTTCATGGAGAATTCCAGAAAGACCAGGCTTTCTCCATAATGACTGTTGAGATGATTAGCCCAGACCCCATCTTTCTTTCCTCAACTCATGGATAGGTCTTATATCTACCCTCCCAAAACTTTCATCTTTAACCTCCACCACCTCACTCTTCCATTCCCACATCTTAGACAGTATGGGCCCTTATCGCCACTTTCAATACCCTCCTCCCCCATACCTGCTGTCGCCTGCATTGGCCACATACACCTTGCCTAGAAGATATACCACAACCAGGGCACAGCAGCCCCCCTCCATCTGGTGGCCACGCCGCTCTCGGGCCATCTGCTCATCCTGCCGAGTAAGAAAGAGTCAAAGGGGGTGGAAGAAGAGCTTCACTTCATAGAGTAGCCCTCTCTACTGCCATCTGCAGAAATTACCTGGCCCAGCCAGGCCACATTGGAGGTAACTGTCCCTTCTCCCTGCTCTCCAAACCAAACTCTGCTCAGGCTCTCAAGGTTACCACCTCAGGCCACCTGACTCCTACAGAGTTGACCAGTTTTCTGTCTAGCAGGCCCTTGGTCCAGGCCACCCACTCACCATGTGCTGGAAGGCATTCTCAATGGCCCCTATGACCAGGCTCTCATGGGTAACTTCCTTCTGCACAGACCAGCAGGGCTGAGGACCAACCAAGTGAGAGGGATCCGAGGAACCTGGGGTCCCAGGGGTAGATGGGAGGCAAAGGGGAGGTGGTGAAGGGTCCTGAAGTATTTCTACTAGGTCCTTCAGCTGCTCCTGGATGTGCCGATGTAACAGCCTAGAGGCCATTTCAGCAGCTCCACCACCTGCATGTCCATCAAATAGGCCCCAGTAGTAGAAGCAGAGTCCCTGGTGGAGGAAAAGGTGGAGTTAAGCCCGTGTGTGTGTGTGTGTGTGTGTGTGTGTGTGTGTGTGTGTGTGTGCAAGCGCGCACGTGCATGTTACGGGAAGAACTCTCTAAGTGTCATAAACATCAGCAGTCTGAGCTTGGTATTAAAGGCAAATTAGATTTATTCATTTATTCACCTAGGGCCTCCTCTATGTCAAGAGAAAGGAAAGTCTCTAGGAAGCCAAAGTCAGAGAATGAGAAATGTGAAAGTCAACAGTGGTGATTAATTAAATCATCCATAAATACACAAGCAGTTTAAGTGGAAAAGTAAACACTTAGGCTGAGTAGAATCTAACAAATTAATCTCAGGTAAGGGTTCCATGACTGAGGAAAGAAGCTAGTGGGTTAGATGGCAGCTGTTCTCCATATATCTCAGATCTAAAACTGGAGGCCTAAAATCCCCAGGGAGAGGTGTCCCTGGGTCTCTAGAAGCTAGGAAAGGGTGAGGGCTTACCTGGCCTCGGCTAGGCTCTCTAGGGGCCCCTGAAACACTCCTGCGGCCTCCCACATACACCACTTCACAGCAAGCCTGGTCCTCATTGTGCCGGCTCTTGCCAGCGTTGATGACCCTGCCAGCCAGAGTAACCACATCAGGTTGGACACTAGATCCGATCCTGGAATGACCCCCACCTTAGACACACAGCCTTTCCTGCCGGCTGGCCAAACTGAAAAAGGTCACAGCCACAGGGGAATCCAGGCCAAGGGAAGAGAAGGGCAGTTCTCAAGGAGTGCTGTCTGGGGGCCAGTCCTCTCCACCTTACAGAAAGACTGCCTGCCTCAGTTTCCTCATTTCTGGCAGGGGAGGCTTCCTCAGTGGTGGTGCTGAAGGAGAGGTTATAGGGGGGTAGGAGGATTTACCTCATCAGCTTCTTCCTTGCTAAATAGGAGCCTATACCTCCAACTCAATCAGTTCTCCCAATACTTTGTCCCCAGCACTCCCCTCGGGGCACATATGTCCTCACCCCAAAAACCACCCAGAGAAAGTTTGTGGCCCTTGGGCTGAGAGGAAGTGTTCCAGCCCCAGAATAAGAAGGAGGAACTGAAAAAGAGCAGGAGTGTGGGCCCACCTGGACTGGACAGAAGCCACGAACCACAAACCCCTCCCACTAGGAAAGCTAAAGGAGACGGTGCCAGGGCCACTGGGCCCCCAGACACCTCCCTCAACGCCCTCTTTTCTGTCAGGGCTTAGCTTTCTGGACAGATCTAAGGACACAGTCTGAGAGCAAGCGGGAGTCTCCGGCGGGCCGGTGAGCAAGGGTCTGTTTCTCGCCTGTCTAGAACAGGTCAGCAGAGTGGCGTCTAAAGGGGACCCTCCCGTTGCCCTATGCGGCCCCTTCCCCCGCCGCGAGAGGCAGGCAGCCTCCTAGTGTCGCGGGCTATTTCTGGGTGTGGAGGGGGAGGGGAACTGTAAGCGGGACAGGGAACTGGGGCGCTGCGGCCATGAAGCGGGTGAGTCCTTCCCACCGCTGCCTCCCACGAAGCAGGAGCCCCTCCGCCCACCCGCTCCGGCTCGCGCCTCTCCTTCCCCTCCCCCCCGAGCACTAAACTGCCGGCCACGACCGAGAACCGGCAACTCATCCTCGGCGGAGCCTCCGCCCTCCGGGCTCGGGGACAGAACGGGGTCCTGAGGCGGCGAGGGTGGGTGAGGGTGGTCAGCAAGCCGCAAGGTCCTGAAGAAGGCGATTCGGGCTGCAGCCGAACCGACAGAGCTGGGATGGGGTGAGGCCCGGAGCCCAGAGGCTCTCAAAGGTCCCGGGAAGGGGGGCTTCTGGCGGCAGCACAGCGCGGGGTATGTCGCACCCCAGCCCGAGATGCTCCACAGAGCTGGGGCGGGAGTCCCGTCCCGGTCTGGGTGCCCCGGGGGGCGCTCACTCGGCGTAGCCCGTGCTCCAGGGCAGGCGACGGCCCGTGTCCGGGGGGCTCTGCACAGCGCGGCCCGCGTGGTCGTCGGCGCGTCGCAGCCCCCCGGGGCTCAGCTGCAGGAAGGTCGGTCTGCAGAAGCTCGTTCGAGCCTCTGTAGTCTTCGCGGGAGCCCCGCTCCTGCTCCCGGGCCTCGCTGGAGGACCCTTAGGCGCCTCTGGAGCGGCGGCGGGTGGTGCCGTGGTCGCACTGGGTAAGTCCGGGGATTTGGGGCTCGGAGGCGGAGCGCCCCCGGAACTCACCAGGTGCGCCAGGGCCGAGCGCACCCGGTTTAGCATGCTGTCTCCCTGCCCCGCCCCGCCCCGGCCCGCCCCGCCCCGGCCCGCCCCGCCCCTGCCAGGCCCCGCCCCCAGCCTCAGTGGGCGGTGCTTCCTGGCCTTGGGTTCCCGCCCTCTGCGTCGCAGAGCCGGGCCAAGGTCTCCCCGAGAACGACCCTACCAGCTCTGGGCCTTTTCCCCATTCCATTTCGGCCTTGCCCTGCCCTAGTTTCTCAGGGCAAGAAAGGTCTGTTGTGAGAAGGGCGCAGTTGTGCCGTAGGTAGGTTAGACATCAGCTAGAACTTCCCCTTGTGAGGGTGGAGGACGCGGCGAGTGGATCTGCAGGGCTTCGGAGCTGACGGCTTCAGAGCGAAACCACAGCTCTGGGCTGCTGGGTGCGAAGCGCCTGGTGTGATCGCACCTCTGGCAGGGGCTGCTGAGGCGTGAGGAGTGGAGAGCTAGTGTGGGGCGGGGAGGGTTGGTAACCAGGCGGGCGCGAAGGTGCTGCGCCCTCCAAAGACCACCTCCACATCCAGGAGACCGGCTGGAGCTGACGTCCTACTTTCTCAGGGCAGCACCCCTCCCCCACCTAGAGCTCCCCTAACGAGTTAGCAAGGATAACAACATAACTGCTACTAACTGAAGGGAACGCTGGGTCCCATACATTAGTGATCGCGCACCGACCCTTAAGGTGGATTTTCATTGTACCCATCTTACACGTAAATGACAGGACGCGCCTGTCATTTTACCTGACTTGCCCCCAAGAAGTCACACAGCCCATGAGAAATCACACTCATCTGTTCCTGACACCCAAAGCCAGTTCTGATGACCGAGAGCTGTTTTCTCGGAATGGGTAAGTGAGGAGACAGGGCAGGGAGAGGAACGGGATTTCTGGCCTCCTCCCCACCCTCCTGTTAGGGCCGAGGCTGAGTGTGTAGGGATGCTGAGCAAGTTCTTTCGCTACCACCAGGAGGAGACAGAGGCCAGCCCAAGCGACCCGGGTGGGCTGCCAGCGGTTTCTGCCTTCTGCCCCCAGGGGTGTGGAGGGAGGCTGTTACTGATCGGACACAGGAAGCGCTGCAGCCCTAAACATGGTATCAGGGGAGTTGATCATGGGCCCTCAGAGACAGCGGCACAGTTCCAATGAAGCCAAGGCCCTGTGGGGGTAGCCACGGGGGCCCACTGGCACCCATGGTTGGGGCTCTACCTCTAAGAACACTGGCTGCTTCCTGATTTGCCCTATCGCTTCCCTGGCTAAACGATGTCCCCAGAAGAGCTGGCTTTCCTGGCAGCTGCCAAATAAAAATTCCACAATGGCCATTCAGCTTTGTAGACTTGCTGTCATTATGCCTAAGGTTGAGCAGAAAGTCAAGGAGAACAAAGTCACAAGGGGTGGGGGTGGGGAGGCAGAACCAAAGACACAGAACAGCAAAAGCAGACGAAGAACACATTGCTGTTGTGGTTGTTTCCCCCATTTGGGAAAGACTGGAGCCAGCTCATGAATGGCATAGCATCAGCAGCGAGCCAGAGCCCGAAGGAAACATACGTAACCCTTGGTGATTATTTAGTAGGGGACAGTTTGCTTTCCACATCTAAGGGTCATCCAGTTCCTTATTCCCTGCTCTTCACAACCATGGTGTGGCTGAGAATGTGGGTTACACAGCTGGGTCCTGGAGACCCTCAGCTCCAGCCCCAGACACGCAGCAGGGCAGCAGACAGCTCCCTTGGGCTCCCCATGGCCCTCCACCTCCACCCAAACCCCGGCACTTTTGTCTCCCAGAGCTTCTCACCTGTTCCTCATGCCATTGCACCTACTTCTTCCTGCCAGCCCCTCATCTGGTGAGAAGGGCATCACCTTGAGATATCCTGGAGGCTGCGCAGGGGAAGGGGACATGGTGGGATTCTTACCCTGGCTGGGTAACACTGCTCAGTGTCTGTCCCTGGCAGGGAAGAGCCAGAGAGCTTCCAGACAGGCTTTTTTTTTCTTCCTGGTACTTGGGATTGAATTCAGGACCCTGTGCTTGCCAGGCAAACACTAATTCTACTGAGCTATCTCCCTGGCCCCCAGACAGACTCTTTCTATTTTTATTTATTTTTTTATTTTATTTTATTTTTTTTGTTCCTCGCATGCCTTCAGGGCACGTTTGGCCAGCGGGAGAGTTGTGAGGTTCGAACTCCAGCCATCTGAGGCTGACAGCTTTGTGGAAGCAGCCACTTAAACAACTGAGCTAGGCCCAGGCCCCCTTATTTTTATTTTTTATTGTTATTTATTTTTTATTTTGGTGGAACTGGAGATTGAACTCAGGTCCTTGTGCTTGCCAGGCAAGTGTTTATTCTATGGAGCCATCACCTTGCCCCCGCCCCACAAGGCTCTTAATCCCAGGTCCCCTGCAGTGGCTCAGGAGCCAGAGGTGGGGTTCTTACTCCTGCTTGTCCTCATTATCCCACCTCTGTGGCTCCCTACACAAAAAGACAAGTCCCTACTGTGAAGGACGAATGTACAAAAATCTCTGCTTCTCACATCCAAAATATAATCCTATAGGGCTGGGGACTTATCTCAGCGGTACAACACCTGCGATTCCCAGTACCAAGACACACACACACAAAAAAAAATTTAAATATAACCGTGTAAATAATTGTACAATTTCAATTATGTCACAATTATTCTGCTGAAGAAATGGGGTCCCAGGGTTGTCCCAGAGTATGATTTCCAAGTGGATATTTGCTTCCGTCCTCCAAGGGACCAGCCTACTGCAGCCTTGCACCCACTCCTAATCCCGTGGCCCTCCCTGTGCCCAGGGCCCTACTCCTAGGGTGGCAGTGCAGTACCTCCTAACCCCTCCTGGACGCAAGTCAAGGGGAGATCTGCACAGCCTCCGGAGTGCTCTGCATCGGGTTCGACAGCAAGCACTACAGGACCTAGCTCCTTTTGGCCTGAGTACTTTGAAGTAGCAATCAACAGTTAATGAAAAAAACTGTTTTTTTTTTTTTTTGAGTTCAGATTTAAACCTAAATAGCACACGCCTAGTGCCAACCGAATTGGGCAGTTCTGTTCAGAAGGTTGAAAGCTCAAAACCCCCGCGGTCTGGGCACTGAGTCCGCACTCCCAGCCCTCTGCACCCCACCTCCTCTTCCCTCCCTTGAGCCACAGTGGTTGACGCCGTCCCAGACCTGGAGAGTTTGGAAGGACCTCCGACAGCGGAGTTGCCTGCACCAGCAAGCTGTACTCCCCGGCCCAATCCACCGCCAGGGGCCGCTGCGTGCCAGCTGCACCCGGCGGGCGCCCCGCACTGTTCCCGAGAAGGCGGTGACGCCCGCTCCGGGCTACGGGAGCTGGGGCGGCCGGCAGCCCGGAGCAGCGGTGGCGGCTCATGCTCCCAGGCCCGCTGGCGAGAGGCTTGGAGAGAACCAGTCGGCATACTCACGGCCGGCAGGCTAGGCCGGAGCGACCCGGAGCCTGGAGCCCGGTCCTGCCGTCTTGGAGTCTCGATAACTTGGCAAGCGAGGGACAGAGCTCTGGACCAGACAGCGCCTAAGTTGGGACCTGCCTTTCAGGTCTTGGTCCCAGGACGGCAGGGAGGAAGAACCTCAGGTTCGCAGGCTGGCCAGTGGGGCCGCGGAGGGGCAGGTAGGTCCCAGTGTGGGGGCGGCGTAGGCTTTGGGGGCCCGAGGGAGCGCTGGAATGAATGGGTATCAGAGCCCAGAACAGCGGTTCTTGGTGTTCACAGCCTCAGGTTCCGCTTGAAAGCCAAGGCAGCGGGGGGAGGCCTCAGGACGAGTTCTAGAAGCTGCTTTTTTCCAGCTCCCTCTGGGCAAGAACTAGGGAGCCAGAGATTTTTGGTCCCAGCTTCCTCTTCCCCTTCTGGGCCCTGGGGTTCACAGAAGAGCTGGGGAAGTTGGGTTTGCACCTCAGTGAGAAATGGGCTCCTCTGAGGAAAGACAAAGCTTCATTCGTAGTGGCTAAAGCAAGGGCTCCTGAGGGGTGCAGGAGAGGTGGGATCTATTCAAAAAGAGGTGTACCTGGAAGGATGGGAGTTGTCCTCCGAGCACACCCCCTAGTTTAGCTACCCCACTGCCCGCTCCAGGCCCCCTTCTCCTGGGAGCTAGAACACCCAGGGCTCTCACTTCTTCCTGGCTTCACCATCCTTGTGTTTGTTTATGTCTCTGTGGTGACTGGGAGAGAAGTGCTGGGGTTGGGGTCTCTGAGGGCCCAGAGACCTGGTACACCCCACTGGAGCTCTCTACAGTGGAATGATGTTGACAATGACAGAACTGAACCAGTTCCATTGAAGACCAGGAAACAAGTGCAGTAGGGCAGGGGTGGGATGCTGGTGCTAAGAGTTGAGGGCTGGGGAGATGGCTCAGTGGAATAAGTGCTTCCCTGACAAGCGCAAGGGCCTGAGTTCAATCCCTGGCTCCGCAAAAAAAAAAAAAAAAAGAGAGAGAGATGAGATAGAGGATTCAAGGCTTCAGGGCACCTCCATGGACCTCCTCCCACAGGAAACTGATGCACTGGCCCTCAGCTGTGTGCCAAGGCCAGAGATGGCAACGGTGATTCTTTGCCCCCCTCCTGCCTGGCTTCAGGCCTGAGGCAGAGAAACTCCCAGCTGCCCACCATGTTTCCAGAGTCAGACCGCCCCTGTGCCCTTTCTAGGGCAGAGGAAGAGACTTGGCCCTGGCCCTGTTTCAGTTTGGACAGCACTTCAGGGCCCAGCCCAACCTCCTGCCCTCTCTCAAGCTTTGCTTCACCTGTTCCAGGGCCAAGGGCTTCCTCCGTCCCTTGCTCCCCCACTCGACCCCATGCTTTCATGCTTGCCCAGGTGGAGTAAGTCTGAGGCCATCAGATGACCAGACAGACACTGAAGGATCCCAAAGAAGGTAAGTGAGGAACCTGTTGACATTGGGATGGGGACAAGGGCGAGGGAGATGGAGATCAGGCATCCCATCCTTGGTTTGGCCTGTGGGATTCCAGAACTGTCTGGCCTTGAGAGAGTTCAGCAGTGCTCCAAAGGGGTAACAGAGCAGTAGACTCAGTCACCCGGGCTTACTCCTGAGCTTGGGGCCTCCCTACTCCTGGGACCACGCTTAACCCCCCCACCCCTGTGGCCAGACAACCCCCAGCTACTTTGCGCTTCTTCCCTTGTTCTTCTCTTCCTTTCTGGCTCCCCGTTTCTACCTCACCCCGTGGGATAGATTTTTGAGGCTTGCGGCTTGAACTATTATGGGTGGAGGAGGAGAAGGAGTCTGAGAGCAGAAGCCAGGTAGGGCAGGGTGCAGAGGGCAAGCTGCTGGGCCGCCAGGCCCTGGGCAAGTCCTTTGACCTCCATTAACCTCCGTTTTATTTCTTTCTTATATTTTATTTCGTGGGAAAAATGTAAAACAAATTTTCATAACCAAGTTACAGGAGAATAACAATTGCATGTTACGTATCACCTTTAAAGTAGCTGCTTAGTGTACAAAATATGGGCATAACGCTTTCTCCCATCAATATTAACACAAACCTTCCTTTTTAATGAACTGAGACACTAATAATGTAACTGACTTGCACTTTTCCCCTCTTCCCTCCATTCTCTTTTCACTCATCCTAGTTTATTCGGGTTTTTTTTGTTTGTTTGTTTTTTGGGGTTTTTTTTTTGGCGGAACCAGAGACTGAACTCAGGCACTTGCACTTGCCAGGCAAGCGCTTATTCTACTGAGCCATCTCCCCAGCCCCTCATCCTAATTCATTCTTTTGAACAATTTCTTCCCATTTCTCAACATCTATTGTACATTCTGGTTATTATTTACTCTTTCAGTTTCTCCCACCAGGGAGACAATACAATGTTTATACACGTGAGTCTGATTTATTTCACTTATGGGTATGATCTCAAGTTGCATCCATTTGCCTATAAAAGTCTTGTTTATCTTTTTGGGGGGTAATACTCCATGATATAAAAATACCTCATCATGGCTCAGTGGTGTAAAGCACCTACTTAGAACAAGCTTAGCAAAGCACAGGGACCGCGGTTCAATCCCCCAGCTCTACATGCCAGCCAGCCCCGCCCCCTGGTGGGCTGAGCTGGCCACACACACACACACACACACACACACACAAATAAAATAATAAAAAAATAAAAATACCTCATCTATTTCTCAGCTGATAGACATTTCTCTCTTTTCAAATGTAAATTCTGTGCCATGTGTGTTCGTACGTGTGTATAATCCTACCTGGAAGGCTGAGGCAGGAGAATTGCCATGAGTCACGGCCAGCCTGGAATATGTAGTAAGCTCAAGACCAGCCTGAACACATAGTGAGACTCTGTCTCGAACAAAACAAAACAAAATAAATTTTGCTTAAATTTAAAAAGAACTTGGGGGGAAAAAGAAATGCCCTTCATGGGGGCCGGGGAGATGTCTCAGTGGAATAAGCGCTTCCCTGGCAAGCGCAAGGGCCTTAGTTCAATCCCCAGTTCTGCCAAAGAAAGAAAAAGAAATGCATGCCCTTCAGCCTCTGTCTCCTAGCCAACTAGTTTCCTTTTTTTTTTTTTTTAAATTTTATTTATTTCTTTGTGTGTGTGTGTGTGTGTGTGTGGCCAGCTCAGCCCACCAGGGGGCGGGGCTGGCTGGCATGTGGTGCTGGGGGATTGAACCGCAGTCCCTGTGCTTTGCTAAGCTTGTTCTAAGTAGGTGCTTTAGACCACTGAGCCATCTCTCCAGCCCCTCCCCCCTTTTTTTAATGTATTTGGTACAGGGTCTCACTATACAGCTCAGACCTGTAGTGATCCTGTTTTCAGCCTCCCAGCACTGGGATTGCAGGTGTGCACCACCACACCTGGTCTCTGGAGGCCGGTTCAGTGTGCCTGGTGCAGCGTGTGGTGTCAGGGATCGAACTCTGGTCCCAGCACTTGCCTAAGCAGATGCTTGGTCCATGGAGCTATCTTGCTAGCCCAGTTCTCCTTCTTAATGGCAAACACTATTGGTAGTTTTTGTGTTCATTTTCCAGGGACAGTTTAAGCATCTTCAAGCAACACAGATGCTCTTTCATGTGCTGCACAGAAAACGTTCACATTTTGCTTTTTCCCCTTTCATGGTGAATTACCACTGAAGATCACTGTGTGTACCATTACCCAAAGACCCTTCCCCACTGTTTTGTTACCATTGTGTGGAAGGGACTGCACCTGTTCAGGTTCTCTACAGTGCCCTCGGACAGTCTTTTTTTTTTTTTTTTTCTTTCAGTATTGGGGATTGAACTCAGGACCCTGCACTTGCCAGACAAGCGCTTATTCTACTGAGCTATCTCCCCAGCCCCTGAGACAGTCTTTTTTGATGGTTGTTTGGATTGTGCTCCAGCTTTTTGAGCTTTCACCTGCTCTTCTGTAAAATAAGTGATAAGAGTTCTGCTTTGCAGCACAAAACGGGCATGCCTGTGAAGTGCACAGGTCGGGAGAGCATAACATGGCAGTCAGCAGTGTTCCTCCTCCCATGTCACAGCCTTCTAGTTCACTCCTCGGGGCCATTTTAAAGGTTACCTTGTCCATAAGCTGTCCCTTCCTGCTCCCGGGTCCTGCTAGAGCGCTGCTTCCTGCAGTGACCTCACGCATGACTGCAGGCTGCCTGGGGACAAGGTGTGCATCCTCCTGGAGGTCATGGCCTGGGGACAGGGTGTCCTGTGGGCATGGCACAGAGAAGGGGCTTAGTGGGCCAAGGAAGCTGCTGCCTGAGGCTGGAGCAGGCTATGTGTTTCTCTCCACAGGATGAGCTGGAGGGCCATGCAGAACTGGAGCCCAGGGGGCTGGCTGCTAGCACTTGTCCTGGCCAGGCTGTGGACCTGCCTGGCTTTGGCTTCCTTAGGGCCTCCAACTGCCACAGGTTTGGGACAGGCGGTAGGATTGGGACCTGCAGAGCTGACAATACCCACCCCACCCCACCCCCATCCCACACATTCCGAGCAGCTCTCTGAGATAGACTAAAATCCACAGATTTCAGGGTTCTGGTAATTCCTGTCTGCCACCCAGGAGGTTCTGTTCCTTCTGCTGTCTCAGCCAGGAGAAGCTCTGGGCAGACCACTGCTCTGCATCTCTTCCATTGTGGAAGGAGTTCTGCATGGAGGGGGTTGGGTGGGGGGAGCTTAAGTCTACCCTCCTGGCCTAATTCTGGGGTTTTCCTTCTGGGATGGCTAAAGCCTATGTAAGCGGATGATCCTCCCTGCGCCATGTAAGCCCTGGGGCCCCTGCCCACACCCTGAGAAAGCAGGAACGTAGGGGCTGGTGTAGGATGTCAGATTTGTTTCTGCCCAAGCGTTAGGCTCTGCCAAAGGGAGATAAGTATACATGGTCTCCCTGGGCAGGGGCAGGAGGATGTCACCCTCTTCTTCATCCCTTGACATTGGAAATCTTTCACACTTATCCTACTGGGTCTCAAGCAAGTGAGGCAAGCATTCCACCGCTGAGCTACCTTCCCACCCTCAGAAATCACTTAACCTTTTCCCAAGCAGGGAAGAGGAGGTGGAGGGCCACGAGGGGTGGGGAGCAAGTTTGGGGGCCTGGGCTGGGGCCTGATCTTATACAGCTGGCCCCTCAGTCCTGGTAAAGCAGGGCACCTGTGAGGTGATTGCCGCTCATCGCTGCTGCAACCAGAACCGCATTGAGGAGCGCTCCCAGAAGGTCAGGTGCTCCTGCCTTTCTGGCCAGGTGGCTGGTACTACGCGGGCAGAGCCCTCCTGTGTGGATGGTGAGTGAGAGGCCAGGCCCTGGGCGGGCGGGAGGCCATGAGCAGAGAGATGAGGAGGTCTGTTCTGGCCTCGCCATCTGCTGGGGCTCCAGTTTCATAGCCATCTCAAGGCTTTCGTGATCAGAGTCTCAAATGATGAGTCACTCTCTTGGGGAGAGGAGGGTGAGACAGTCAGCCAGGGTCACAGACAGGGAAAACTCTTGTTAGACAGCTATCCTCCCAGCACGCCGCAGCCGGGCACACAGACAGCTGCGCTCCCTCCTGTACTGTGCTACCTGCCCCACACGAATGCTGCAGACCGGCTGTCAGCCCCCGCTCCTTTCCGCAGCCTCGTCCACGCTCCCTCTCAGTCTCAGCCCTGCCTCCACGCTCTCCTCTCATGGCCATGTGGATGTCCTTCCCACCTCCCCCCACACGTGTGTCCTCCTGCTCATGAGGCCCAATACCATCTCCTGTGCTCATGCACACTCCTGCTCTTCCGGCTCCTCTGTAGGGCCCACACCCTTGCTCACACCTACCAAAGGGTCTGCTGAAGCTTGTGCGTCTGTGCAAATGACACACTTGCCTCAGAGGTTAGTCGGGATCTTTGCAGAGGTGCAGAGAGCTGTGGCAATGCCCTTGCTAGGGTATGTCCCAGGCTTCAGCCTCAGAACAATGCTGCCTGTCTACGTAGTGCACGGCAGGGGGAGACAAGGGAAAGGCGAAGCCGCAAGCCAGGGTGTGTGGGAATGGGCAGTGCTGCTGCTACCCCCTCTTGCCTGCCTGCTGTGTTCTCACAGAGAGCTCAGAGCTGTGTTCCTGCCTCCTCCTGCTCCGCAGCCTCCATCGTTCTCCAGAGGCGGTGGTGTCACATGGAGCCCTGCCTGCCAGGGGAGGAGTGCAAGGTGCTGCCGGACCTGTCCGGATGGAGCTGCAGCAGCGGACACAAAGTCAAAACCACCAAGGTATCCAGCCAGGTGGACATTTCACCTACCCCTCCTCCTTCGCCTTCACTTGGGATGGAAAGCAGGCAGAGGAGCTGCAGGACTCCAGGGTGGCAGTGTTCAAAGGAGGGATTGGTGAGCCAGAAGACTGTGCCCCAGATAGTCCTTCCGGGTCCATCCTGAACGTGGGGCTTGGAGTTACGGCCTTGGACCTGAAACCCAGTGTGTTCTTCTGGGCAGATTCTTGGTATTCCCTGTGCCTCAGTTTCCTCATTTTTGGCTAGAGGAACTTCACTCCCAGAAAGTGCCAGATCTGTAAAAACAAAGCAGAGGCCAGGCACATAGGTGTGCACCTGCAAACCCAGGTACTTGGGACACTGATTGCAAGTATGAAGGCAGTCTGGGCCAATACTGATATCCTGATTCACAAGAGTAAAATAAAAATGGCTAGGGGCTGGTGAGATGGCTCAGTGGTCTAAAGCACCTACTTAGAACAAGCTAAGCTAAGCAAAAGCACAGGGACCGCGGTTCAATCCCCAGCACCACATGCCAGCCAGCCCCGCCCCCTGGTGGGCTGAGCTGGCCCCCTCCACACACACAATAAATAAATAAATAAATTTTAAAAAAAATGGCTAAGGATATAGCTCAGTGGTAGAACATTTGCCTAGCAGGCCTGGATTCAATTCCTACACACACACACACACAGAGAGAGAGAGAGAGAGAGAGAGAGAGAGAGAGAGAGAGAGAGAGAGAGAATTGATCAAATTATTTAGAAAATTCACAGAAGGAGTCTATTTCTATTTCAGTTCCCATTACAGAAGCCACTGTGCCAACTACCTCTGCCATGGACCACCACAACCACACTCACCCCACTGCCACGATTAGTAACTCCCTATAGGCCCTACCTACCTTTCTCCAGTCCAATTGCTCTGTCTGTGGTGAAAGAACACAAGAGTGTTTTTATTTCACGGTTTGCTGCCATCTGTTTGTGCACATGAGTGACAGTGCAGGGCCAACCAAAGCACTGCCTTCTGCCTTCGCTCTCCACACTCATTGCAAACAGGCAGACAGACAGAAGGAAAGGTGGTTTCCAGGGTTCTGAAGAAAGCAACTGTTTTCATAGAGCACAGAATGAAAGGAGCCACCCCAGGAAACTGTTTGGCTAGACATAAAGCATCCTGCCTGAAAGCAGGGAAAGGAAATAGCCATTCTCAGTTATATTTAAGCCTACAGAAGAGCGCTACTCATTGTAGAACTCGACATCTGCCACCAAGTTATAGCTTCACTGGTAGTCTGTAAGGCTGATCACTGCACTAAGACTCAGAAATCGGTGGTGATGAGGCTGCCTGGTTTGTATGCATGGGCCACCAGGCTACACTTTCCAAGCCAGGACTGCTTTAGGACAAGGAAACCAGTGCCTAAGTAACCTGCGCATCATGGGGAGCCTCTGTGTGCTGTAAGTGACCCACATTGCCTGCTCTAACCTTCCTCTATCACTTGCCCTATAGGTCACACGATAGCTCTTGCAAGTCATGGCTGAGGACAGGTTTGATTAAGCCCTGGACTGAAGAATGGCACTTAGCCATTGGTCAGCAAATATGGGGACACATGCTTCATGACAAATGCAACATCGGTCACTCGAGGGACATTTGAATCTGCTTGGCAGATGTGATGCATCTCTAACCACCATTCCTAGACTGCTATGTGCTTGTGGAGACAAACACAAAGCTCAAGACACAATCCTTGCTCTTAAGGAATGGCCAGTCAAGTTGGGGAATTGATGGCCAATAGTTTAGATAATTCAGAGTATATGTCATGGCTTCTGCAGTGGGCAGGGTAGGGGCTTGGCGGTGAGACTTCCATACCTCTTCGCCATCTACTGACCTCAGGGCACAAAGGCAAGAGGTCACGTTTGGCATCTTCTCCTCACATCCTTCACATCAGTCCTGAATCTCCACCAATCTGTGACCGTGTCGAAGGCAAGCACTCTCATATATGCCAGGCAAGCAGGATCTCAGATGGGACGGATTGATTTGCAGAAGGCAGGAAAGATGAAGTTGAACGACTTTCCAGCAAAACATCTGCAGAGCGTAGCATGCGTTGGGTGTTCATTGGGTGTGGAATGAGCAGGACCTTAGAATCTTTCTTGCTCCTTCAAGCCCCTTGGGGTATCATTCATTTTTTGTTTGTTTTTGTTTTTGTTTGCAGAACCAGGGATTGAACTCAGACCCTTGCGCTTGCCAGGGAAGCATTTATTCTACTGAGCCATCTCCCGGGCTCCCTCATTTGTTTGTTTTGAAAGATGAGGAAACTGAGTCCCACAGTGGTGGGGTGATTTGCCCAAATCTCACAACCCGGGTTCCCAAATCTGACTGTGTCCTTCCACTAGAGCAGATGTTGATCCACTAGAGCAACCTGTTCCTTCCATGTTAATTTTTTTTCAAGTACTGGTCCCTGTAAAACACTGGCTGAGTAGCAGTACACTTTGCTCAGAACATGCTAGAGTGTGGACTTCGACCAAAGCTTTGTTCTCCTGTCCAGAGTAATCCAGAGTACCTACGCCCCAGGGTATAGAGTCACTTGGTCTCCACTCTGCCCCTCACCCCCAAAATTCCACACAGGCTGACAGCCTTGAGGTCACTCAGCCCAGTTAGACCCTGGAACTCTGAGCTTGCATCACTGCTGCCTGAGGCTGCTCAGAGCCCTCATTCCTCAGAGGCTGTGCTGAGACAGAAGCTGTGGCAGGCTGGATCCTAGTCCAGATTTGAGGGTCAGAACATTCAGGCTGGCGCCTGTAATGGCTTGGGGATAACAATGGGGCTCCATGCCTGTGCGTGATACTGGGGCCTTAGAGGGCAGGGTGTCATTAGTGATTAACCTGGGAGCTGTTGAATTCCAACCCTTAGAGAAGGTGATTCTGATGATGGTGTGAGGCTGAAAATGTTTCTTCACCTACATCACACAGCAGAGCTAAAGCTGTTGTTGGCTGACCTCACCTACCGCAGTGTGTTTGGATTTTGTTTTTGGTAATGGAGTGAATTGGGGCTGGAGAGATGGCTCAGTGGTCTAGAGCACCTACTTAGAACAAGCTTAGCAAAGCACAGGGACCCCGGTTCAATCCCCCAGCACCACATGCCAGCCAGCCCCGCCCCCTGGTGGGCTGAGCTGGACACACACACACACACATAAATAAATAAATAAAATTTTAAAAAAATCTAAAAAAAAATGGAGTGAACCGTGATGTGAGCTGATTGCTGAACTGTGAAGTACAGAGCCCTGACAACCCAAGTCTTTGCATATGGTGAGCTCGTGGGGCAGTCATGAAGGAGCTGACCAAAGGCTGTCATTGCCTCCTTCAAGGCTGGGGGATGGAGGCTGAAGGATGGTATAGAAATATAGATTTGAGACAAAAGCCTAATGTCCCAAAAGAGCAAGGAACAATAGACAGAGCCGGAGGAGAGCTGCTGTGTGTCACTTGTAAATTCCTGGCAAGCTGGGATTCAAGGCTGTAGATAACAGCTTCTCCTGCAGGCGCCCTGTTCTTTGATCCCTTGCTTGGGATGTTATCGGCTAGCATTTCTGTGGACCTAGTGATAGGCAAATGGTGGAAGTCAATAGAGATAGTAGTTTGTATTTACTTAAGTAAGCATGCACATTCCTCAGCCTGCCTTTAACCCTCAATAAATGTGAGATGCTTCTGAGGCTCGGGGCTCACTTGGAGAGACACTAATCTCAGTGAGCCCTCTGAAGCTACATTCGTTGGGTCTTCTCGTCGTTTCTTTCGGCACCGACCCGTAACATACAACAGGATGGGTTGGCAAAGCTGTAAGGCTTTGTGGGCCACATAAGTCTCCACTACACAATTTTTTTTTTTTTTTTGGTGGAACCAGGGATTGAACTCAGGCCCTTGCGTTTGCCAGGCAAGCACTTATTCTACTGAACCATCTCCCCAGCCCCTCCACTACACATTTTGTTTTTATTCAAAAATACAAAAGCCATTTCTTAGCTCAAGGGATATTTAGAAACAGACCCAGAGCCCTGGACAGACGCTTGCCAACCCCAAGAAATCCTGGAAGGTGCTCTGCAGGGTAGGACAGCCTCCAACTCTGGCCTGCCCTTGTTGGTCAGCCAGGTGGAAACCTGAGCATAAGGCTGCAGCAGGTTTTGTTTTTCTTCTGATGCTCCTTGAGAGATGGGTGAGTGAATTATTTAGGCTACAAATGAGACAGCTTTAACAGAGTCAGACGATAAAAACCTGCTGAGAGGCTAGAATGTGGGCTTCTCTATTCCCTCTCAGCCTTAAGACTCTCTGCAGAGATGGTGGCAGCCCCCTGCTTAGCTGTCATCCACAAGCCACTGGGCAGTGGCTGGGGAAAGAAGGGACAATGGCATCCCCAGTGTAACCTTAGCTGCCAACCACCAGCAGCCCCTCACAGTAGTCCTGATTCCCTGACCTTCCCAACAGCCCCTCCCGCTGCTTACTGAAGGGCCTTTCCTTTGATGTGTGATGGAATTTGCTAGCTCCTTGTTTTAATTCCTCAAAGCCTTGTTTCCTCCAGAGCTGCTCAGGTATGCACTTGGTGGGCTTTCAGGGGTGCTCCCCTTTTTTTGAACAGGGCCTCACTATGTAGTTCAAGCTGGCCTTAACTCTAGGCCTCCCAAGTGTTGGGGTCGTAGTTGTGTGCCATGCCTGGCTCAAGAGGTACCCTTTTTAAGACCAGAAATGCCCCACATAAGTTCTCTAGGGTTCTGTTTCCAACTGAATCAATTTTTTTTTTTTTTTCAGAACTGGGGATTGAACTCAGACCATTGCACTTGCCAGGGAAGCGCTTATTCCACTGAGCCATCTCCCTGGCCCCTGAATCAATATTTTTGTGCATTTTATAACTATTACAATCACAGTCTAGAAAAGTAAATTAATTTTCCCGGAGCATAGGATTTCTAGAGTCATCTGTCTTCCTTTACTGCCCTTACTGGTATGGGTTCTGATCGTCTGCAGTTGGCGCTACCCTACCCACCCGGGCTCTGAAGGCCTTAGGAAGGCTGCCGGCGCGAGACCATGAGGTTAATTTTTCTCGGCCTCCTAACAGTGCCATTAAGGTCTGAGTGACATCCTCATGAATGCCCCAGACAGGTTCACAGAGTTGAAGCTACAACTTCCTAAAATCACAAAGCTTACACCTATAAAGCATTTTAGAGCCCGGGGAGCTTACTCCTTCATTAGCTAGACGAGGCCAGAGTGGCTCAGCGAGGTTAGGTAATAAGCCCAAAGTCACACAGCAGGCTTGCCCAGTGATCAGGACAAGTGTTCCGCCCACTGCACATCCTAGCGTGTCCCAGAAGAGATACCAAGTCCAGAAAGAAGCCGGGATTTTAGTGACAACGAATGTAATAGGATCTCATACAATCTTGCATGCATTCAGAAGAAAAAAAAAAGCATTTAGAAATAGATACAGAAAAAGAGAAGGGACAAAAATGGAGAGATTAGCTGGGCGTGGTGGCGCACACCTGTAATCCCAGTGATACAGGGAGAAAAACTGGTCTCGGGTGGGTGACCTCCAAACCATATAGGGAACCTCCAAATGACATAGAGAAAAATGATCTCTGGACCTGACCTGCACGATTTCGTGTTCTCTAAAACCGAAGAATGAATTTTAGGAACAAACGGAGGTTATGAGCAGAATATATTTATTGAGAGAAAGAAAGCTCCTGTCCAAGAGAG